ACTGAAATTAAATGATTGACCTTACTTACATCTTCACACAGCATCTTTCCTCCTACGTACACACATGATCTCATATTAAACATTAGTTAAGAGTAAGTAGCCTTTGTAGAGTAGTGTATAAGTCGCATCGACTCTGGACTTTATGAAACGATCTCGCTTTGCTCGTTAGGCTTTTCTTATTTGTTCGGTTGGCTCTTCAATCAAATTGACATAAACACATGTTGGGGCCCTAAGTGTTGTCGCGCCTACAAAACGTAGACACCGAGCTGAAGACAGAAGACAGTTGGGCAGGGGAAAGCCTCTATTAATAGAGCATTAATTGATGATTATGTCAGTTGAAAGCGTCGTTGACAAACTGTGTATCTGATGGCTACATGAGGCAAACGCCCTGAAAGCAGCATTTGAAAACTTTTCATGCACTTGCATTGAATGCTGCCATTAATCAAGGCTGACGCAACGCCCCCGCAGCGCCCCCTAAGCAACAGCAGCAGCCAGAAATGTCCCCTCCAAATGCCGCGAAGCTTTGCTGCGGTTAAATATTTTGAATGGCAACATATGTTGGCTGCCATAAAGCAGCAAGAGATTTGTCATGTGTGTGGCCACAACGCGTTGCTAGCAGCAAACGGCTTGCAGCAGGCAGTTACATTTTGGCCAAGTGCTTACAACTATTTACCGCTGCAATCGCTGCAAACTACGCAAAAACTATCTTGCAGCCAACAGATACGACAACCGCAAACAAGTTGCAGCTGCATTTCAAGCTTTGGATTCAGATACGGCAACAACTGAAAGCCGTGGCCAAAGCCGGAGCCAGAGCCAGAGTCGGAGCTAGAGCCGGAGCCGGAGCTGACGCAAATGTGCATGCTGCGGTTTTTCCAGAATGAAGCTGGGGGCTAGCAGCGCGATTTTGCGTAAAACTTTTCCAAACATTTTGGCCCCAACTATGCCAAACATTTTTGTATTCAAAACTATTTAGCTGTCAGCATTTATTTGCCAAAAAAAAAAAAAACCAAAACATATAACAAGCAGAAAAATAAATTCAGTCTATATTGAGATTTGTTTTATACATATACATATATGTGAATGTAGCCAAAGTTTCATTTGAACATCAAGTTTATGGGTATTTATTGATTTTGCAAATAGTTTCAGTTTTGATTGATGGCTACAACAGGCGAACGCAATGGAGATGGAAAGTTTGAGGGCTCGAGTGTGGATTCAACAGATTTGTAGACCGAATGCTGAAAAGTGATAAAAATGATACATTCGAGTATTTTCATAGTTCATTAGCCCACTGAGCAGCTGCCCGCTACGAGTGCTTAAAAACTAATTTGTAGGTTAACTATTTGCGGATTGGGAGAAAAACTAGAAAAGTTGAAGAACAAACGGTAATATTTATTCTTGTATACGCAAAATAATCTAAGATCGATGGCGCCTTCTTCTGGCTGCTAGACATTGCTACAATAATACTTGGCCTTTTTACAGAATCTCTGTAGTGAGCCAAAAGCTTTTAACCTACATAAAATTCTCTAAGCTGAATGAACTGGCTAGCAAACAAGCTTGCTTTCAATTTTTTCCTTAGATGAATTTTCTAATCAAGTTTGCTTTAAATTAAGTTAATAGTAATTAAAAGTAATTATTAATAGTCCGCGCAGCAGAATATTTTATACGTAGGTTTGTTTAGGAGTAGCAGTGGAGTTCAAGCAAATGAGCGAGAGACATCACAAGAGAAGAAAAACTTCAGAGAGTTTATTAGAAAAATAACATCACAAGAGAAGAAAAACTTCAGAGAGTTTATGAGAAAAATAACTGTACCTGCATAGCCGAAAAACTATTTAGTTTCAAGTTTTACTTTTACTTTACTTTACATATTTTCAAACATTAATAGTCTATATACTTTATTTATGTTCTGAAATAGATTGGGTAGGCTTGTAACGAAGTTAGTCAATAAATCTTTTACCTATAGTAAATAAATTAAATATATAAAAGAGAAGCGGACATTTAGCTTAAAGCTTCAACTATTTCTTATCTTTCTTCGTAACCGTATTTTAAGGCAGCAAATAAAATTCATAAAAATATTTAATTAAATTGTTGAACTACTCGACTTTAAATTAAATCTGAGTATATTCTAAAGTTTACACTCTCACACACACGCACACGTCTTTAAGGGGATATTAAACAAAGTCATAAAACGTCTACTGGCTGCAGTTGGTAGCTGGCATTGACTTGGCCCGAAGGCCAAGCAGGCTATTAAAGAAATTCCTGGACGTAACAGTGAGTATCGAGCGAGTGCAGAGCGTTGCTGAAATGCCAAAGCGTCTTCGGCTTGTGGTTATAGCCACACGATGATGATGATGCCGATGCCTAGAATGATGATGATGATGATGTTGATGCGGATTGCATTGCTCATTAACACGAAACTAATTAATTGCGCAATTCAAGTAAACTATCATGTTGCGAGCGGGTACCGCCATTACAGGCACTTGATTGATCACCTCCAGCCGAGTGCAGCATGATCTTCTTTGAGCTAACAAGCTGAGGCCAAGTGCAGGGCCAAGGCTAGCACTAGGGCTGGGCTGCGGCTGTGGAGGGTGCCAAGTGCCAAGTGTCTGTTGGCCATGCAGCCCATTGCATTTTAAACGCTAATTTATTGTTAACTGCAACATGTTGCCGGTATGCAAAAATGTTGTCTGGCATATGCAATTAATTGTAACAAGGCCCCGCCAGCTAACTCAGTCAACCAACTAGCTGCTGCGGCTGCTCAGCTCTGCTTTGAGCCAACCTTTAACGAGCTTCAGCTGCATTGTGGCCAAAAAGAGTTTTGAGGCAGCGCGTTAACTCGCTGCAATTTACGTGTTAATTTGAAGTCGTGTCTCTTCAAATGTTTGGCTGCCCCCCCAAAAATAGAAAGAAAAGAAAAATAACTTTTACTCAGCGCGACGAGAAAGTCGTAAGTAATTCATGTGTTGCACGTAATTGCTAGGGTGTTGCTGCTGCTGCTGTGTCGGCTGTTGCTGCTGCAGTTGCAGGCAGTTGCGGGCGTTTGCATGTAACAAGCAGCTGCAAGATCGCTCTAACTATCAGTTAAGGTACCCGGCTCTGGCGAAAGTTTCCACTTAAAAAGTAGCCAAGTGCACTAATGTATGCCACAAAAAGCCCAGCGCAAACATTTCGATAGATATATCGATTCAGCAGATATCTACAAATTGATTCAAATAATTGTTTGAATTTATATTTGTTGTTGTTGATTTTTCAATTATTACTGTCGACAATACGAAGTAAATTTTTTGTAATTAGGCGACTATTGGCCTTGATCGATAACATGTGCTTGTATTAAAAATATAACGAAAATTTGGAATAAGCTGAATTAGCTGAAATTAGTCAACCATTGACAGCCAAGAATAGAATTTGTTAAGAATCAGCGGTACATTTTATATATTTCGATGCCTCTAGCATCGATTTAGTTATTAAACGATATCGATAACATGATTATTTTTTAAATATAGAAATATTTGATTAATATTGATTAATATCTAAGAAATCTTTGTATTCAGTGGTTAGACGAATATTTATTTCAAATGTTCACTGTTATCGAATAAAAATAATCGATACTTGGCATGTCAGTTAATTAGAAATAGAATGTAGATAGCATTAACAAGGTAAATTTCGTATATATTTTACTAGAAGAATTGATTAATAAAAAAGTTGTTGATCGATAATACACACAACGATCGATAACACAAACATTTGATGTATACAGAATACAATTCGCCTGAATTGCTCAAGATATAACTAGGTATCACTCGTTTTGTAGAAAATGTCAATCAATTCTGAAATATAATTACATATGGAGATTGTAGTTTCCTTATAGGTATAATTTATACTGGAGTAATAGAGCTTAACTTTTAACTGATATACCTCTTCTATAATGCTTCGATCTTCAATCGGAAACTCGTTTCTTTTGCAAATTCAATTTGAAAGTGTTCTGTTTATTGTTTGTGCAATATTTTGTTTGATGGGCAGGGTCAGGACCCAGAACCCTGATTTGAAGTCAAAAGTTATGAGCAAACAATTTTCTGCTTAAAAGCGTCTGTCAGAAAACTTTGGAGCGGCCCTTGTCAACCAACAAAATGGTCTGGCGAAATTGTAGCTTTTGCGATTTGTCTGCAATTACTCGTACGTTTTGGGAGGGCAGCCAGAACAGTTGTGAGAGACCCGAAAATGGAAACCGAGCCCGTACGTGATTTGTTTTTAACGAGATTTGTGTCCAAGGAAAACTATTGACAATGCAAATATTTTGTTACCCACTGGACTGTGCGACCGGAACCAGTCCACCGTCCAAATCTTTCTCATTTTGGGCGCGTCTGGATGTCCGCCCCTTTGCGCACACAATACAAAATATAGTGTGTCAAAAATGCGTGTTTGTGTGTTGCGCATGTAGTATATAATATTTCGCATAGTTTTGCAGCTGAAGTGATTCCCGATCAGCCCCTCAATAGTTGCGAAAAGTTGAAACAGTTTACAATTTCAAAAGAGACCCTTACACACACACACACACACACACATTCATGTCCGTCGTTAAGTTATCCAACGCCCCGTCCAGCCCCACGTTTCGCTTTTTAATTTGACAATCAATTGACAGTTCGTTTGGTAAACACAAACAAATTCACTCAAACAAATTCTGTGCAAAACTATTGCCGAACAATAAAAAATGGAGAAGAGAGAAAAATATCAAATAACTTGTCGATTTCAAAGCATATTTCATCCACTCTGCTCAAGGGCCTCTTATGTTACGTTTCAACAATTAATTGAATGCCACTCCGATTGACAAGTATTCAGCAGAAACACAACAGCTATGCAGCCTTTTGGGATTCCAGCTCTAAAATGTTGCTACACTTTCGTTCTATCCGCTGACCGGAACTGGGCAAATATAATATTACTACACAAATATCAGCCACTGGGAATGTAAGCCACAAGCGAAGTGTGTCAATTAACAATACAAAGAATTCGTGTTCGCATTTTAAAATCATATTTAAAATTAAAACGGAATTTCTGTACAAAAGCTCTTAGCTGTTTAAATAAAACTTGGACTACATATGGGGACTTGAAAATTGTGCCTTTTATACAAAGAACTGTAAAAAATTATCTTCGGATTACAGAAGTTGCGCGAGAGTTGGGACAGACCCTAAACGATAGTATGGTTTTAACGTGATCAGAGAGACGATATGTTGTACTACTTATTCAAGCCAAACATTTCCAAAATATCCTCCTTTGTAAGCTTGTCATCGTCGGCAGCATTAGGAGCTGCTGTAGCAGTATTTGCAGGAGCGGGCGCGGGAGCAGCAGGTCTAGGTTGAGGTGCAGCTAGCTGACGAACAGGGGCTGCCCCTTTGTTAGCTGGTTCGTTGGCTTTTTCATTTTCTACGGCTTTTATATTTGCTGCGAGCGCTGTAATTGTGTTTTTCTTGACTGTGACCGAGGATGCTTTGGGTGCTTCCTTGGGTGGCTTGCCGGCGGATTTCGGATAGTGTTGCGTCTTCACAGTCACCTCAATTTTGAAAGCAGGCTCATTTGTTGTGCTGAGCACCGAAATGTAGGGAAAATTTGTTTGGGAAGTGGATTTATCATTGCCCGATTTAGCTGGAACATTCCAGCAGCGATAGGTGGCCATTGAGATGCCTGGAGGTGGTATTGCAGGCTTTTCCGGTTCCACAACGGGCTCTGGTTCAGGCTCGTACTTGACGTCCTTGAACGGCGCCAGATAGGTGAAAAGCTGAGGGTAATTGTTTCGCTTTTTTTCACACATGCATGGGTCGGAGTCTTCTTCTATCTCTAGTGACGGCTCTTGCTCTTCTGCCTTAGACCAGTCACGGAACGGTGCCAGGTAGCAATAATCCGAATCGTAATCCTCCAAGCCAGTAATCGATAACTTTTCGCCATGCGCCTCCTCCACGTCATCAGCAAACGCTGGCGGGCAAGTGCAAATTTGGCATGTGCAGATGCATTCATCATCGCAGGACACGTCAGTGTCCTCGCAGGGCGGACAAACGGCAATGGGGCTGACCACATGGTGATACGGCACGGTCTCATCCTCCTCATTATAAGGCAACCACCGACAAATATACGGACCCTGACTGCACTCAGCAGTTATCACTGGTACCTCATGCGCGAAACACTCCATTTTATGACAAGTGCATTTAATATCCTTCTTCTTTTTCCTAGATCGCTTGACGTTGGACTTTTCCGACGTTTTGGAACTGGTTACATGCTTGATGGAGGTCTGTTCTAGTTTGTTCATGATATGCTCCATGGAGATCATCGTGTACTCCATACGCAGCGAACTTTGCGAGGTGACCTGCTTATTGAAATATAGCTCTGTCGTCTTAACGCTCCGAATGCTTATGTTTGTATTGGCTGAAGCCGTGTCCCAATGTTTATATGGCGCCTTTGGGGGCACACTGTGTTGTGATGCATCCGGTACACAGGTGCAGCCACGTGATTCAGGATCTTCGTAGATTAGGCGGGTCTGCAGCTCATCATAGAGCGCCTTATAAATGCACTCGATGCACTCTTCATACTGTTTCTGCTCGCCGTACATGAGGCCCGCATAAATTGCAAAAATCTCCGCCGTACGCTTGGACGCATGCAGCCAAAGGCACTCGGAGGTATGACGCAGCTGGGAGGCCAACGCCAGCAGATGCTTGCCACCCTCCCCTGTGCCATGGTAATAGGCACGGAAGGCGCGTTTCGTGATGCCGTAGGCCAGTTGGCTGTCCATGCGATTCATGCCCGCCTCGATGGCCAGATCGTGCAGAAAGTTTTCTTTGCTGAAGCGTTTTTGCGGCACCCGATCCACCCTGTAGCGAAACTCCTCGTAATGATTAAAGCTGCGTTTGATTGGCTCCTTCGCACGACGTGCCTGCCAAGGACGCAGCCGACAGAGGATCATGACCTTTATTATGCTATTGGCGATGTCCTCGATGTCCTCTTGAAAATATTCGACTTTCTTTTCTAAATTTACCGTCGTACATTTTGTGACTTCGGGACGCCAGCATTGACAGCCCTTGACCTTCGAATCGCTAAGGTCTTGGCCTGCAAAGAAAAGCGTCGAAAGCATTTTGACCAAAAATATTTGCCTAGAAACTGCAATTTGTTGTAAACAATTTGGTATGGGGGGATATGGGGATAATTTATAAATAATTTGACTACTTTATCAAAGTATAAAGGATAAATAAAATCAGGACATGATGGATACAGCTGACCCTTTGAGGAACTGAAAAAGAATAGAAAAGAGCTTCGAAAGAGAGAGCAAATCTCAATTCAAAGCAGCCACAGTTGAGTCGAGAAGAGAGAATTATTTTATTTAAATTTTTATTTCATTTAGCTTAGAGTTTGAGCAGTTCAACAAAATATATATGTATATATTTGAGCTACTTCTTGCCAACTCTCTGGCCAATACTTCCGCCTGTTTCCTATCAAAGGCGAACTGTGGAAAACATGTCCACCTGTTGCCGCTGCACGACGCGTTATTCAAGTTGGACGCAACGCAAGCAACTTGTCACTTCCTGAATGACGTCTGTCATAGTTTTGGCTGGGGAAGTGCATTGCTGACATGCTGCTGTTCGAAATGCTTTATTCGTGGCAGACATACAGAAAATCATATTTATCATCGGGGCCAAAGCACAGTGGGGAGACAGACAGTGGGGCTGGGCCGGGCTGGGCTGGGGCATCGGCCGTTGTTGCAACATGCAACCAAATGTACAAAAGCCCGCAGCAGCGACTGTGGCACGAATCATTCTGATATTTGTTTACCCAACAATTTGCCGTGCTCCATGCGCTGTTCTACTCTACTGTCTCTACATTGCCCCAACACAAGATGATGACCAGGAGGGGGCGTGTCGCGAGCGCCGCCTGATTTACTACTGTTAATTCGAAATACTTTTGTGATGCACTGCAAAGCGGAAATGCCGTGCGACACAGACACTCACACACACGCACACACGCACACTCGCATAGCATGCACTTATTTTAACAAGCGACTGCGCCAAAACAACAAACAAATTTCTATATGCTTCTCCAAAACTAGAAACAACATAGAAACTAATAAGAAATTCGAGATTCACAAAGACGAAACTTGAATACGCTTTGAGTAAAGCTATTTTAATTAAATATAATTAAATATGTATTTTTAATTTTATATTAAATATATATATATGAAATGTTTAGTATATGCTAAATAAACATTTATATTTTATATATTTTTCTTACAGGCTCAGGCTCTATAAGAGAAACATATTACTACACATATTATATATGTATTTTGGATTTTAGATTTTTTCCTCAGACTCAATCTGAGAAACACATTTTTATTATATACATTTATTTCAGATTTTTATATATAAATATAATATATATATTTATATGATCTACTTACTGATCTACTATAAATCTAAAATTATATTTAACCGCTTTACCAGCGATCCTCTTGCCACAGTTGTCCGACCCATTGTTCGACTCTAGTTAAAACGGAATCAAAGTCTGCACAAATATTGTCAGGCGGTCATGACAAATATTTACATAGGCAGCGCGTGTGTAGGTAAAATTTTGGGTCCGCCAACAAAAACAATCCGAAAAATATATTTATATATATAAATTTGTGCATGTATATATAAGCGTACAACGCCGGAAAATGCGGGCGCATTGACAGTGCGGGCGATTGATTTTTCCTGTATTTGCTCGCAGCCTCAGAGTCAAGTAACATGGTCGGGGAGGAGTATTAAAATAAATGCAGTGCAATGCTGTGCATAGAGAGGGGAGAGAGAGGGCAAGCAGAGGCCTCGAAGCTCGGGGCTCGGACTCTAGCTAACACGCTAACAGACAGTTTTAGTGCAGCCCAGAAAAATGAGTTTAATTGTTGACCTTAGCTATTAGCCCCTGTCAAATGGTTTCGGTTGACAGCAATTTGCGTTGTACTTTGAGTTTGGTTCGAGTTGGCTTTGTATTTTGTCTCTTGTCTTTTGTCTTTTGGACTTGTGTCTTTCAGTGTCGGCATTCATTGCACTTTAATTTATATGCAAAAAGCACAACGAGCATTTTGCACAAGTTTCTTGGTATTCCATGATTTGGAAGTGTGTATGTGTGTGTGTGTGTGGAATACGTATATGAGTACGCTTTGGTATGCACCAAAGGCGCTGACTGACAGGCCTCGAGGTATCAGAATCGGAGAGGTCCGTTGCAGCGGTCGGGCCACGTTTGATATTTGTTTATGCTGCAGCCACAGCAAAAATTCTCTGTATTCCACTTCTTGTTATTCTTGACTTGCAGTATATCTATACTCCTATATATGTATATATATATATATATATGTCCATTTAACGGGGCCATGTGCTGTACAAGTTGATGATTATTGCCCTTTTGGGCAGTTTGATTGTGAAATGCTCTGTGGCGTGCTATAAATGTTACGTTGAACACAAGCAAATTGACTTGTAAGCAGACAATTGCAGCTTATTGATCTTAGCAGCGTATGAGAAGCGCAAAGAAAGGCGACGTGCTGAATTTAATGTACGTGTTTACCGGACAACTGAATATGACAATGAGCATCGCATTTACGAAGTGTGGAATGCGAACTCTTAGAATGTCTTTTGAAAGACAGAGAGGGAAGCTGGGAGAGAAAGAGACAGAAAAGCACTGAGTGCAAGAAGTAAACTTGAATTTTTGTATACGGTTTTTTAACAAACTTATTCTCTCTTTTAAATAATATATTTATTTATTCTTTGTTAACAAACTATAAATTTTTATGCAGAGCTTTTCTTTTACTCAAATCAATTATTTTTTGCTAACAAACTACATCTATACGTAGCACTTTTTTACTCAAATCAACTATATACTGAATTTTTTCTCAGTGTAATAAACTGTTCTACGAAACAGGTTAACGATCTGCACTCAACTCAATCAGCACTTGACAGTTCAATAGTTTTATGAATCTACTCAGAATCATTTATAGTTTAGCTTCAAAACAAGCAAGTTCTCGACAGTATTTCAAGTATGAACGTGTTAGGCCTCGAAATGGCCTATAGTACACAATTATATAAGTGCCAAGGGTGAATGTATTCCATTGGATACGCAAATACAATAATATCTCGATAGCTACTGATATAAAGAAGTGTCATTACGGTCAAGAAGAGTGCATTCAAAATGCGATCAATCAGCTGATTATACGTTATCCGAAAGGTCTGCCAAAGCTGGGCACATCGTCATTCGATGATTTTCGACCAGGAGATCTATGAGCTGATGCCGCAACTTGATCTGGGAAGGTTAGTTGACTGTTGGACCACTGAAGTGTCACTAGCTGGATCTCATCAATTCTATATAGTTTCTCTCTTGAACTGGGCGATCAGTTTTCAGTGAACTTGGATCTTACGCTAACCTTTAATCGAGTCTACAATGAAAACTGGCTGGAGCTTTGGAACGATGTAGAGCCTAAGCTGTCGCCCAGTTTCAGCAGGGCGGATGCTCAGCTGCTGAATAAGATATTTGAGGTAATCTCATATGATGAAATGTTCCTATGAAAATTGTGTTGAGCTCGCTGACTCACGGTTCTCTCAAGTATTACAATTTATATTCATAAACTTGCTTACACTTCTGTTATTGATACACACTGTATCAATTTCAGAGCAGGGCATATTAGGCTGAATTAGAAAATGCTTCCGAATGTCCCCACTATTTACATTTAGAACAGAGTATTCTACCAGCTGGCAGCTATATATTCCCAGTGTCTGAGTAAGGTTAATCGGTTGATCGACTCAATGCTATCTACAACAGTCTCACGAAACTAAACGGGTTTGTTGATAAAAAATGCAACTGCGACTTGTTTCAAATGCATTTCTAATGTTAAGTGCTATTACCTAACGAACTGTCGTATCAACAAGTATAATGAAGTTTTTGAATCAAATCTTTAGCAAAACAATATTATTTGTTTACACATGGAAGGCAGTTAGTGACGCTCTGCAACTGCGTAGGTGAGCTCAAGATGTAGTTTGGAATCCGAGTTTTTATTGATCTCTTGGCAGCTGGTGACATACAGAAATGTTATTTTGGAGATGACAAATGCATTGCGGAGAGCACAAATCAATATTTGCGAAAGTATGGCAAGGGGAATATTGATCTGGGTCTGCCGCCATTTGATAATCTTCCAATAGACGACATAACACTCATTAACTCACCTGGACCACTCTGGATAAGCTACAAGCTGAAGAACCAGCGACTTAAGGGCTTTGAAAATGCGACAATTACTGGCATAACGGGCTTTAACCGTCAACCGGAAATGAATAAAATGATTATCGAACTGAAGATTCCAAGTCTCGTCTGCCACGGCGACTACGAACTGCGAGGCCGTGGCGTCATCTTGTATACCAATTCAAGTGGTTCCACTAAATCGGATTTGCAGAATGTGCGTTTAAAATTGAATATCAAGAATTTTATCGAGTATCGCAAGAATCGCAGGTATCTCAAGGTCTACGGTGTGTCGACTCAAATCGAACTGGATCGGTAAGATGGAGCTAAAACTAAATCTCACATCGGTCCTCATATTTGTCTCTTTGTTAGCTGGATACTGACTGCTGATAATTTATTTAAGGAGAACACGGATCTAACTCTTTTGCTCAATCGTGTGATCAACGAGAATTGGATCGAGTTTTGGAATGAGATTGAAGCGACCATCTTACCCGTTTATACAAAGAGTATATTAAATATTGTCAATAATATAATATACAATATTCCCTATGATGAGTTGTTTCTAACCCACTGAGAGCTGCTGGACACTAACTGTAATTAGACAAATTAATCTACAGAAAGTATTTAATGTTACGAAAATCATAGGTTAATTTTTTCTTTTTCTTTTGATTTGATAATAAATATTTAATATTTATTTATGCCAGTCAAAAACAAATTGTGTTAAGTTCATAAAGAAGAAATTTAAAAATTTCCAAAAGTTTTGCATGCATTGATTTCTTATCGAATCGTATCGAATAAGCAGACAAATAGTGTCTAATTTTAACCTTAAAGGAAACAAATTATTTTCAGGTATTTGCCAAATTATACGCTTCTTATCGATAAACAAATATGTCAAAAAGAAAATATATGTACATATATATATAAATCTTTTAATATTAAATTAACATTTAAATTTCATCCTATTAATAAAAAACTTTTTTCGGCCTTATAATGATAATAAATTTGCGCTTTGATAATACATCTGCCATTTGAATTGCTTTGCTCGTGACCTTTAGCTCTGACTATTCAGTAGCATCTTCTGAATTGGAATTTCTATTGTGCATTGGAAGAGAAGCCACCCTAAAAGAGACTGTCGAATCAGTGCTATCCAGAACTGCCCACACTCAACGCCTTCCAATTCCCACAGCGACTTTAATTTATCACGCTTGATCTTGATTAAAAGCAAACACCCGCAACCCGTTCCGCGCCTAAAGACCCTAAAGAGAATAGATTGTTGAAAGACGGGGGTGGGGCGGAGGAGTTGGGCCATGGCAAATCCAGTCGGGCAGTCAGACAGCCAATTATAGACAGTCAAAGTCGCGTAAAGATGCCAGAATGAAGATCCACAGACACGAAAGCTGAATGAAAACGAAAAACGAGCAACGGAAAATTAAAATTATAATATGAAAAGAAGAAGAAGAACAACAACAACAACAACAAGGAGAACAACTGCAATAAAGACATCAACAGTTCGGAGGCATCAAAGAATCAAGCGAGACACTCAAAAGGGAGGACATAGGTGGTCAGAGAGGGGTAGAAAGTGTAGCGAAGGGGGGCCAAAGGGCAAGTTGTAAGATTTCCAAAAATAATATTAAAATTAGCAACGAAGCGCAACAAATGAGATTTTCAACCAGTTGCAGTTGCGCTCTCCCAGATGCCGTTGCCAGGCCCAACGCTGGCCGTAAATTGAACGAGCGTCCAGGCCTCGGCAGAGGCGTAGATCAATCAGTGCAGAGCCAAAGAGACAGAGATAGAGGCAGAGGCAACAGCAACAGTCGAGCAGACAAACAGCTTAGTCCCAGTAATTAGGAATGATAAATGTGGAAAACGCATTGCATAAAGCAAGATACAGAAGCCGAGGCTTGCCCATCGAAAGGGTTATAAATAAAGAACGAAAAAACTCAGAGACGCAGTCAAACAAATTGGGCAATACGTGTGCTGGTAAAAAATTCATGGATAAACTGGCACATCAGGCACATCAATGGGCTAGTGGGAAAGGCAATTAAAATCTGGAGTAGGGCGGGAGCGTGTGGGCGGTGCTAAGTAAGCGGTCTTTAGGCAGAGTTATGGCAGCGAAAAGTTGCGCCTGCTTAAGATCTTATACGAATGATATAGTATATGGCAATAATAATTGTTACTATGCGAGGGTGGAAGAACTTGCCTGACCTGTAAAAGGGAAAACACAAATATAAATGGAAAACTAAAATTTCTTTAAATTAATATTTTAATTTATGAAATTAATTTTTGTAGCGTGGAAACTTATCATCTAAAAGTTCACTTTGGTTACTTGAAGACTTAAAAACTATTTCATCATAAACATGAATCCAGGAATCCCTGCTGAGATAATTTCCAGAAAAATGTCTTAATATTGTGGTCCAGACAGAAGGCACAGTAATTTCTAGAGAGTTTGCGTTAAATATTTAATGTCTTCTTTCCGTACTTTTGCTGTTGTTGTTATGGCTCTTGAGCAATGCCAATAAAGGTGACTAAGTTCACTAAGTTAGCCAATTCGAGTCCGTTGACTGATGTTTACGAAAATAGTTGAATGTTAATTGACATTCCAAAGTGGTCGATTGTCTTTTACGCCATAGACAAAGGAACAGTTGACAGGGGAGGAGGGTTGGCAAGCTTGTAAGCAAAATCTCAATTTTACTGCTCTTTTCCCTTGCCCAGTCTCCCTCTCACTTTTATGCTCTACGTCTCTATATCTCTCCATCACTTTATTTCACCTTTTTTTGCTGCTTTGCATTTTATATATGAAAATAAGTGCACCATTTCCAATTACACTTTATTTCAAACAATTAACCAGTCAGAAATGCCAGAACGAACCCTCAGCTGAGCTCATGCGATGGGTCTACTTTCAACTGTACTGGACGCCCCATTCGCCCCGCCTTGGGGCTAATAATGTTAGCGCCATATTTGACCGCCGTGTTGGCGTTATCACGACTCGACCAGGCCGAACCGCGGCGGGCCAGTCCGAGCTGTCTGAAGGCAACAATGTTGGCTAACCGCAAGGCTGGCCGCCAGGTGCAAGTGGCCGTGTTGCCAAAGCGGATGGGTATGGGTGGGTGGTTTCGAGTGGGGCAGGGCACATTTACATCATTTGCGGTTAGTGCGGGGCATTTGCATTTTGCATTTGGCATTTGGCATGGCACGGAATCTCACGGATATGTGTCTATAACAAAACAATTAGAAACGACGACGAGGACGACGCTTAGCTAAAGCCCTCGACGATTGGACGCTGATTTATGAGTGGTGCAGGGTGGTGCGGTGTGGTGCCTACACAAAAACTCCAAGACAGTCACGTAGCAGCAGGCCGCGGGGATTAGTTTGACGGCAAACGGCAAATAAAAGAAAACGCGACGCACACATAAAAAGTCAAGCCGAAAAACTGCTGGATGACGGCTGTGTGGCTGGGTGGGTGTATGACTCTCCAAACAAGCTCGTGCTTTGTTTTTTTCTACTTTTTCGTTTTTTGGTTAAGTCAGCCGTGGGGCATTGGGGCATAGTAAAATGCTAGAGAAACAATTATGCAATTACTTAATTTGATAGCCCAAGTGTGTGCCATCAGTCGGCATACGAAACCCCAGTTAGAGGCTTCTACTAGTGCATATTACGTATACGAACGTAACGTATACGCCCCGGCAGCTCTCCCACTATTTCGTTCTCTCTGTGTCTTTCCGCTGCCTTCACTTTGTGGCCTGTAATTGTTTTAACTGCCTTGTGCACGCGCTTTGTTTACACGACCTGTGGCCAGTACGAATGGCATTGCTTACAAGCAACTGCTTGGCTCGCTTTTGCATGTTGCATAGGAGTGTGTGGCTTCCGGTTGTAGCTGTTGGCATTTATGAATTTGTTGCTAAGATTTGCATTCAGCTTGCATTTCTTTCTATTGAGAAAGCCTAAAAAATTGCCATTAGCAAAAAAGCCCAACGCCAAATTCTTAACTCATATATTTCGGGCTCCCCTACATTTAGCTCCAACTGCCTATAAGTATCTTAGGGTCCCATAAGTCGTGCGCAATAACTTCCGCTTGAAAAGTGTCATAGAGTGCAAAAAAAGGGTAGGTAGTTAAGATGAATAAGTTGTTATTATCATGGCTAAAAATATGTCATACGCCACGTGTGCTCTGTGTGCTTGTTTGTTCTGCGTCTGTGTGTGTACGAATTACCCACTTCTGTATCGTGTTGCGTCGTTCCGGCGAGTCCGTCAGCTGGTGTGCGAAATTTCAGCAACAATCAACACCTCAACGCCGAAAAAAAATAAGGAAAAAAGCTGAAAGCGCGGCGTAGGTAGAGGTAAAGTGCTGGAAATTGTTGGAAATCATGGCTAATATAAATCATCTTGGCAAGCAGCTTTGCATGTTTAAGTGTCATACATAAGGCGCGCACATATGAATGCGAGCCACCACCGCCCCGTTTCGGCTCTCGTTTGAAGTGGGCGTGGCATTGGGGCAGCAGTCGTAGCTGCGAGACATAAACACTTGAAGCTCAACCCTTTTGCTGACTTTGGCAAATGTGACGCCAACTAAAAGCGTCAACGAGCAGCCCCCAACCACGCCTCACCTGGGCGCACCTTAGACCCTAAGCACACACACAACCATATATATATATATAAATATATATACAAGTCTTGTTTGTTTTGTAGCTCAAGTTGTGTTTTTGTGTTTATTTTCGTTTGGATTTACTAAAGCAATTTCCATTGTTATTCCTTAAAGGCAACGCTCAATAGTCTGCTGTGTGTGTGTGTGTGAATGTAAACACATATTTGACATTTGCTGCACACAGACAGGCACACATATACATATACATACATCTTTATATTTATTTTTTGTGCAAATAAATAGTTGCAACAGCTGCTGGCATATGCCTTGAACCTTGTGTTTCACCTCGACTTACCTTGCGGCAAGTTTTCTGCAACAAGCGTTGAGACAAATGATTTTTATTTTCCATGTCTTATATATGTAACAATTTTTAATTAAGATTGATTCAATTAAGCTGCTATGTGTGTGTGTGTGTGTCTGTGCCTGTGTATCTGGTATTTACTCATCCGCAGCTATGTCAACTGTATTTTCTATGGAATTTTCAATTAAAATAGCAGCAAACAAATGAAATATTTCATGAGAACTCACATTATGAACTACAAAAATAGTAGATGCAGAATTTGAAATGGATTTATTTACATTTAACATAATTTCAATGCGAAGAGTGAGCAATTAAACTGTAATTATCTCATATTATTTATTTATTTAGATGGAAATTTTAATTGAAGTTAATTGAAATTAAAAGCGAATTAGAATGAACGAACTAGATGGAAAATTTTTAAAGTTTTCTTGGAAAATTGGGGCAAGGCAATGGAGAATATATTTAAAAGAAATTTAAACCAGCTACAAATTAAAAAAAATCATCTACAACCATTGCTCTTTGACTGACCTACGTTAAAGAGCCAATATTGAAATTTTAGCTACCAGATTATCACGATTATTTATATATTTCTCATTCGAATGCCCAGAATCAATATATTCTTATATAAATGAATTGATCCCTATGTATTGAGATCTAAGAATAATGGGTC